TAAAATCCCATACTTTTGGAAAGAGAAGATCAGTATCAGGTTGGTGTTTCCTCTTGTTGCACATGCCGACGTTCTCGTAACTTGCAAGAACTTTATCTATAGTCGGGGTCAACTCTACTTCCCCAAATCGAAATACCATGTTGTCGTTATCCCAAAACTTCATCATTGTTCCAATCAAGTCGGGGTAAGCTACCATTTCCATCAGTGACGGGAGATGGCCTATGTGTTTTTGAACTTTTTTCTTATCTTCCTTGTTCATGAATTTCCACCAAACTTGAAGGTAAGGATCAGGTATAGTCACCATTCGGGTTCGCAACGGCTCAAATGTCGAATTCATCCTACAAGAAAAACAAACAAATGTAAGTTAACCCCCACCCCTACTTGATAATTGATTTGTTTAAAAATGACATATACATCCTTCAATTAAAACACATCAGTATAATTGTCTTTTTATTGGCAAATGGGCTAAATAGACACAAGGTGGGCTTCTAATGGGCCCAGTACGCCTTGGGTGTTGGGTCGACCTAGTTCAAAATGCGCTAAAAATTGGGATTTGATTTCGCTCTACGCTAGTTGACTAAGAGTAGCTTTGAAAGATCGGGAACTCAAGTGGACAACTTAGGCTGGAATTCACGACAACCATTGGACGCAAGATGTACCAACAAATTGCCGATCCTTCCGAAAAAAGGTTGAGTATAAAAAGTTCGGCTGCAATTATGCAGAAACCGTCCTTAATATACTATACATATAATAGGAAGATGCCATAAATGCAATGACAGTTATAAAAAAAAAAATTAAACACGTTTAGCGCAAATAAACGATTCAACAGTTAATAACAATCAATCAAATAAGTCAAATCTTATGGTTAGAACTTAATTAAGTCCCAGTGGAGTCGCCATTTCTGTTTTACTCGAAAATATAAATAAAAGAAAAAATAACTTAGTTTTCGAAAATCGATCAAACTTATGATTTAAGAGAAATCAAATTTCCAAAAGGACAGAGTCGCCACTTAATTTTATTTTTTAAAAGTAAAAATCAAGAAAAAAACTTAAGGTTTTCAAAAGATTTGAACAGATAAAATCAATTGAAAATAAAAGGGTTCGAAGTTCAATGTACATTTCGAGAAGGTGTTAGGCCATCGAAATGCCCGTTAATTTGCGGTTGACCGGTGATTTGACTAAAAATTATTTTTACTAATTTTAAAATTTTAGCCAAGTAAAAAAGAAAAAAAAAACTCATAACGACTTTGACTAATTTTGAAATTTTAACTAAGTAAAAGAACTCATTTATTTTAACTAAATTTTGAAATTTTTAACTAAGTAAAAGAACTCATTTATTTTAACTTATTTTTTAAATTTTAACTAAGTAAATGAACTCATTTATTTATCTTTTATTCTTTATTTACTTATTACTATTATTATTTCCATCATTTTATTTTTTATTATTGTCATTTAATTATCTTAAGGGGAAATGAACCAAATGGAGAATTTTTCTAAAAAGAAATAACCTAAGTGTTGACAATACCAAAATTAAAATAAAAACTAGGTAATAAGAATATGTATGAAATAATGTTTATGTTTTTTTTTTTTTTTTTGTTGAATATAAAAGCGAAATGGCTGTCTTTGGGAATTAATTAAATTCAACCATAAAAATAAAAAAAACGTTAGTTGATCATCAAATAGATAATCAAATAACTTAAGAGGAATATATTGAATTTGGGCTTTTGCCCAAATTTTCAAATCTGCAAAAAAAATGAAGTAATAATTATTGGGCTTTGGCCCTTTTTCCATCTTTCTTGATCATGATATACACAAAGTGTATATTTGAAATATACGCCATGTATATCGCTAATTCTCAAACTCCCGGACCTGTAATTTTATTTGAACTTCGTATTTCTGCACTTTTCACCTGTGTTTTCACGTTTTGGACCTGTATTCTATATATTCCGACTATATACAATAGGTATATCAACCTGTTTTTGACTCTTTCGGAGCTTGAAAATTTAATTTTCAGCATACTTATCATCTTCAACCTGTATTTTAGTTTCTTGATGGCTGACTCGATGAACAAGAATATTGGGCCATAAAGGCCCAATAGGAAAATGCGAGGAAAAGAGATGTAATCCATGAGGATTTGGACGAGTTTTCACATGCGAGAAAAAAAGATAAGATTAGAATGAAATACTTGGCAGCATACAACATTTAAGTAGAGATAAAACATGTAATTGAATTGTAATGTTAAATAAAAGTATGAAGTAACAGATTAGAGAAAGTGATGACACGATGGGCTATAAGCAACAAATAGATAATAAAAATTGGTCAACGCACACTACATGCTTCTAAAAAAATATTATTATTATTATTATTATTTTATTTATTTTTTAAAAAGGGAGGCTAAGCTAACAGGGGGAACACATGATGGTCAACGCACACTACAAAGGCTAAAACAAGATACTAAGAGCTAAGAAAAAATCTCAAGATAGATTGACATACTTTATCGAAGCTAAAATACAACTCCCAAATCAGATTTGCAATACTTGATCATGAAGATAACATGTAAGCAGTGACAGACGACACGATAAATAACAAAAGATAAACTAAGAAAAACAAAGCAAATTCTACACTTAAGGTAACAGAAGCAACAAAGATGCCAACAACCTACCAAAACAAACAAAACACTAAATCTTTTCAGCCATACTTTAATAGAACAATAGTCAAGATTTCAACAAGAGTAGAGAATTTAACTAAAACAATCAACCATTCTACATGAAAAGCTAAAATATGACTTAGGAACATATAAATAGATAGCCTAAAATGGCCAAAGCAAGTAGAACAGAACTAAGGAAAGAAATAACCTCTTTTTGGGCAACAAACGGGGACCGAGCGAGCTGAATGGAGCTTTCCACGACCACAACGAGATTCCAATAACTCAGGCAAACTTCGACGAGGCGAGAAAGGAGAAATGGAATTAAAAGAAAACTCCAATCCTTTTGAAGCTGAATGTTTCGGTTCAAATACCGACTCTCTGTTTGCAAACATGAAATTTCTTTATCTTTTTTTTTATGCTATGATTCTCTCTATCCTTCTACCAGTGAAGTACCACACCCCTTGATATGAGCGGAGGAGGGGGTATTTAGAGAAGGAAATATCAGGTTTTTCAAAATGGGGGGAACGGATGACCAACGGGTAGACCAAGGCCCAATTCCAAAATTCAAAATTTTTCACTGTTGTGTCGTAATTTGTTTGTATTCAGAAAATCACTTTTTGAAATGTTCTAAGTATAAAACAATTTGAGCAATACTTAGAAAGAGTCGCCACTTAATTTTTTAAAGAAATTAAGAAAAAACTTATAATTTCCAAAGATTTAAACAGAAAAAAAAATCATTTGAAAATACCAAAGAAGGTTCGGGGTTCAATTTACACTTCGAGAAGGGTTTAGGCATTCGAAGTGTCCGCTATCATGCGGTTGACCTGCGACTTGACTAAAATATATTTGACTATTTTTTAGAAAAAATAAAATAAAATAATTTAACATAAAAAATAATAACTTATACCATATTTGATTAAGAAAATAATTAAATAAATGACACATTTTATTATTTTATTTTTTAGAGAAAGAGATCCAAAATAGAACATTTGACTCGAAATACAAGTTATTAAAATTTTAATAAAACTAGATTAATTAGAATTTATTTAATTCATTTTTTAAACCAATTTAATAAATTAAGGCATAAAAATCATTTTTTAATTAATTGACTACCCTTTTTTGAGAAAATGACTAAGTAAGTAGTTATAATAATAATTTACATTATTAGATTAACTTTGAAAAAATATAGTTAAATAAAGAATAATTTTTAATTTTTTTGGAAAATTGGGTCTCAATTGAAACAACTTGGTCAATTAGGATTTTAACAAAAACTAGATTAATTAAAAATTTATTTATGTCATATTTTAGAAATAATAATTCGAACCAACTTGGTAGACAAACCAAGACATTATTTTAATCTAATTAAAGATGAGTGAAAGTTCTTGACTAAAATATTTGAATGAGCATAGGAGTTGATAAAATGAATTATTTTTAAAGAAAACTAACACAAAGAATATGGTTTATCTTTTGGGGAATTTAATTAAATTAAGTCGCAATTTAAAAGAAAACAAATAAATAAATAATCACACAATTAAATAAGTTAGAAATTGAATTTGGGCCTCTTTTTTGGGCCAAATTCGCTGCACTTTCTGGGGATTTTACTCAATCCCGTTTTTGTATATATTGTTTGTATATTAGTGTATATGAGCATATATATTAGCTCTTTTCATGTATCTCTTGCTTCCGAATGTCTATATGTCGCTTCAGCCCTGTATTTTCACACTTTTGAACCTGTATATGAATGTATATCGATGTATATCAATGTATACAGGCTGTATCTCCGCCTGTTTCAGCTTTCTGAGACTTTTGTGTCTTCGTACTGTTTTGTGGAAGCTTCTGAAACTCGAACAAAGATGAAGGCCGACTCAAAAAAAAGGAGTGAAGGAGAGAGTCCCGATTGACCGAGAGATATGACCGAGCCCTTTTGGCGCCTACGTATCCCGTTGAGGCAGGAATCAGGTCGAACGTAGTTCCCCCTCTCGAGGATTAACAAAAATAAGAAAATTACAAAGAAAGCAACCGAGGCCGACATAGGCCGCCTACGTATCTCATTCTTGAGAATTTAGGTCGAACGTAGTTCAAATACAAAGAAGTATTTAAAGGGGAGACTTGAGAATTCAGGTCGAACGTAGTTCAAATACAAAGAAGTATTTAAAGGGGAGACAGGGGTGACCGAGGCCGACATAGGTCGCCTACGTATCTCATTCTTGAGAATTCAGGTTAGACGTAGTTCATTACAAGAGGGATAAAATTCTAAACAAAGCAATTACAAGCAAATAGAACGATTACAAGGGAATGACAAGAAAATACAAACTGAAACTTCACACATAGTATCTCTTGACAGCATCTGAGTTGATTGGTTTCGGCCATTCGGTGCCATCCATCTCCGATAGGACCAAGGCACTTCCAGATAACACTTTGCGAACCATGTAGGGTCCTTGCCAATTCGGTGCAAATTTCCCTTTGTACTCCTCCTGATGAGGGAAAATGCGTTTAAGGACTAACTGACCAATTTCGAATGTTCTGGATCTTACTTTCTTGTGGAAAGCATGGATCATCCTCTGTCGATAAAGTTGACCATGACAAACCGCAACCATTCTCTTCTCATTGATCAAGGTTAACTGGTCGATCCGCTTGCGAAGCCATTCAGCATCACTCAATTCTGCTTCTTGGATGATTCTCAATGAAGGTATTTTGACTTCTGCAGGTATAACTGCTTCTGTTCCATAAACTAGCAAATATGGAGTAGCTCCAACTGATGTTTTGACAGTCGTTCGATAACCCAACAAAGCATATGGCAACATCTCATGCCAACCTCTGCGATTGTTAATCATCTTCCTCAAAATCTTCTTTATGTTCTTGTTGGCAGCTTCTACGGCTCCATTCATTTGAGGACGATAGGCGGTTGAGTTCTGGTGAGTAATCTTGAATTGTTCACATATCTCTCTCATCAGGTGACTGTTGAGATTCGCTCCGTTATCAGTAATAATGGATTCTGGCACTCCAAACCTACATATCAAATTGTTGCGAACAAAATCAGCTACAACCTTCTTGGTCACCGACTTATACGAATCTGCTTCCACCCACTTGGTGAAGTAGTCGATAGCAACCAAAATGAATCTGTGTCCGTTAGAGGCGGCTGGCTCTATCGGACCAATGACATCCATGCCCTAAGCTACAAATGGCCAAGGTGAACTCATAGCATTAAGTTCGTGAGGTGGCACTCGAATCAAATCTCCATGCACTTGGCATTTATGACATTTCTGCACAAACTTGCAAAAATCATGTTCTATAGTCATCCAAAAATAACCGGCTTGAAGGACCTTCCTCGCCAAAGTAAGCCCATTCATGTGAGTACCACAAACTCCGGCATGTACTTGTTCCAGAAGCTTTGCAGCTTCACTAGCATCAAC